ATAATTTCTTTTAAGCCAGTGAGATCAAACATACATATTGTAGTGTAACAGCGAGAGTGGATGTGAGACCTGTCCTTCCCGATCCCCTCCCCATTTGAAATATAACATACATAACATATATATATATATATATATATATATATATATATATATAATGTAAGTCAGAGCACACTGAACTGTTTTATCAAGGAATAAATATTTTAATTTAGGTCCATGTAATTTGTTTCCTTGTGGTTTATTTATTGTTTTAGGCGTTCTAAAGCGTGAACAATTATCAAGAAACCATGAGAACGTTCTTTTATTATTTGTGCTAATTTCTCTCAACTTGTAACTGGGTGCAAGGTTATCCCTCCCCTGCACTTTTGGGTTTAAGGCTACAACCCTTATCATAAATAGTGATTATAATGTGCATATGGAACGCGGCTAACATATTTTCGCCTGAAACGAAGTAATTAATCCCTATTATAAATATTTTATTCATTATCGTAATGTCATTAGGGCTAATTTTTGTGTCTGTCTGTGTTCCAGGCACTGGGATGCTGGGGCCAACCTACACGCTCGGTAAGTTGACTAAGTCGCTTTAAAGCCAAGCTTTTACGATTCACTGAGACAGTTTGATGTTACATGCCAGACTTCTTAAAGTGTGATTCTCACAGTGATTTGAATTACAGGTTATTATTTGGAGAAATAGGACGACGAAATGAATGTGAAGGCGTTCTTTACTGTAGTGCATGATATAAATGGGTTTATCTTCGTAACTGAGACATATATATGACCAAACGTTTTCAAATAGATGTTGAAAAAATGTTGGTGTTGATCTTCTGGGTTGTGTGTGGATTTGTACGTAGATTCATACAGCCTTTATATTTAACCCTGAAGATGAAGGCAATATTTTCCTCCGGAACGATGGTGTCTGCCTTAATTTGTGGTCTCCGGTGTTAAAACGGTGGGGAGTCTGTGAAGCCGCGCACATCTCATTTGGTCTTGCGCGGAAGCTTCTTCCGTGGCCGCGGATAGGTCCCTGATGCTCATCATACTAAAATAAGACCGCGGATATACGAAGACGCGGATAACGAGAGCAACCTGCAGTTTCGTAGACCTAGGGATGAATACTATTGCAAAGAGTGCAATTGGTAGATTGATTAGTAGACAGTGAGTTCGAAATCGTATGAAAGGTAGTGGTCCTGTAGAGATCGAGGATC